GGGGGGGGAGGGTGAGGGGGGGCTCAGCAGGGGGGCCAGAACGGTGGTGTTGTTGAAAATCTACAAAGGCACCAACCATCATGTCATACCTGACGACCACCCCCCCCACACGCCTCTAGGGGGCCCTAGCGCCTGCAATCCTGCTGTGAGTGACTCTGACGTCATCAGTGTTAGCTCAGTTTACACAAGTTGAATCTATTTGTTTTGTAAATAACCTTAATGAGTTGACAGAAACAGAGATGTTGGGATAGTTGTTGGGAAATAAACATGGGGGTGGGGTTAGTGATGACGACATAAGATTGACAGCTGGATGGTCCAATGAAGGCCTGACCACAGGGATCTGTCAAAGTGGATCGATAATCTGATCTATTGATACAAAGCACACGGGCTCTTTCCAACACGCGCGTCATTTTTGTTGTTCTCGTACTCCCCCTGGTGGTCGAAATCGAGAGTGACTGAATGTACAGTGTGAACCTGACGCAGGTGAAATAACGTGAATATCCTGCGTGTGCGAGCTTCCGGATGTGGACGCTCGGTTTTGGTATTACCCCCGGGAGTTTTTGGGCTCGTAATTGACTGATAATCACAAAGAAAAAAAAAAAAACCAACCCTCTGTGGATTGTGTGGACCGCCGCGGGCTGTTCCAGAGACGAGCGCGCTCACCCACGGTGAGTCACAGACTCGCGGAGAGGGACAGAGTTCAGCAGCACTGCCTCCACACACAGTGATGAACGGCTCTGAGCACCTGCGGCTTTGAACACCGGGCCACACCGGGCTGACGAGGAGGAAGTCGAGGCAGAGCGGCCGCGTCGGTCCAGATTGATTTTATTTATTTTAAATACACATGCAGTTTATCATGGAAAAACCACGGAAAGCCCTGAGGATCGTGCGGACGATACGGAGGAAAAGCGAGGGCGGTGTTTACAAGATGTTGCCGAGTCCACGCCGTGAGTCTTGTGATTTTTTTTTTTTTATTTGATTTTTTTTTTCATGAATTTTAATGTTGATACCTGTCAGAAAAGTGGACAAAATAATTTTGACACCAGACGAAAACAGAGATTTCACTGTGATACGTTCCATTACATGTGTTATTGTTTGATGAATTTGACTTGGCAATATTTACAATAATAATTTTAGTAAAGAATGTAGAGGCTGTGGGGGTGGGGGGTGACGGCGGGGGGAGGAGGGGTTATTAGTGTTTATAACGAAACACGTTGATATCGGTCACACGAAAAAGTTTTCTCAAATTTTAAATCCAAATGAGTTCAGTGAAAGTTAAGAAGGAAAAAACTCCCCGAATGCATCAATATTTATAAATAATTCTGTTTTCACCAAATCAACAACAAAAGTAACATTAAAAAATATCTCTAGTTGTTAAAAGGATATAATAATAATAAATGGCAAAAACAACTTTATTTTATGACTTAATCATATCTCTAGTTGTTAAAAGGTTATAATAATAATAAATGGCAAAAAAAACAACTTTATTTTATGACTTAATCTGAATCAAAATAAAAGTCAGATAAAACTCAGTAATCTGATACTGATACAGTATCGTACCGACAACCTTAACTTATTTATGATATTTTGATGAAAATGATTGATGATAATCTGATTCTGATTGTTATTATTATCACAGTGTTGTCAGATCAAACATTAGGAACAACAACAAAACAAACACACGATCATTCTCTGCTAATGATGTTGATGATGAAGGCATTCATTTATGGTTAATTATGGGATCTTCTATTGTACAAATGATACACAACATAAAATTATTGTACAATTACGATAATTATCACCACAGTTTGAGTGTCTAAAATAGGTCACGGGTTCTCGACGTAAACACAAAGACATGTCAGCGCCGCGACCGCAGCTCTGATTCAGGGAAGGTTCAGGTGATTCAGGTTTGAACTTTTCCCCCCAGCAACCGTTTCACCGCCCTTCAGTCAAATGACTAGTGCACGTTGTTGTTACAGATGACTGGTATTTATTACCACAGTGCACAACATCGTACCAGAAGTCACTGCCTGTGCCGGGTGGAAAAAAAAAATCACATCTTAAACAGTTATAGATGATGGTAGAGTACACAGGTTTACATGTAAAGTCTGGACCGTCTGCCTCGTGTCCGTTGGCTTTTTACTGGCTTTGGACAAAGGTCGCTTCCTGTTCACATGATAGCAGTTGAACTGGTCTGATAATTACCTTTCGTCAGAGGTGAATTTGTGATCATATAAAAACAGCGCAGTATAAAAGTAATATTTTAAAATTAAATCTAACCTTGAACTGCAGCCCAGGATCCACTGAACAAACTCTTTATTTTATTTATTTATTTATTTTTACATATGAGAAGAGTGGGGGACAGAGAGTGCCCGGTGCACCATGGGAGCTCCCCCAGCAGTCTAGGCTGCGCCTGTAGCTTGTTGACACATCTCTACTGTTTCACTCGTTGGACTACTTCTACTTCTTCGTGACATTCCTAACTTCAGCTACATTTCTTCAGGTGCAAGAATGTCGACACACAACACAGACACCGAACATGACGACACGGAGGAAATGAAAGTGACTCACTCAGAGTCGGTCTAATGAGTTAGTACTCCATTAATCAGTGTTGGGGCAATTACTTTGACACATGTAACAGATAGTGATCACAGAACATGGACAGTAGACGTATCACAACGACTGCCAGACCCTGAGGTGATCGTGTTACTGACAGCAGGAACAACAGCGGCGGCCATTAAAAAAATAAGATAATGTCGTCCAAACATCCAATCACGTCTCAGATCTGTGGTCGATTTAAATCGTTATCCAAAAGACACGGAACAAGTGTTGTTTTATTGGCAGTTGTTTTTTGTTAAAATGGTTTCAGTTCAAATGAAACATTCCTTCAAAGTGAACTGAACAGAAAGTGAGCAGAGCTTTTTCAACAACCGTTCATTTCTGTGGAAAACCCCGTCACCTGCTGTTCAGTGTCACTTAAACTGATACGTAATCACACTCACAGTTTGGGGTGTGTATTGGCAAGTATCTGACAATACGATATGTTGCGATATACTGCAGTACTATAGGCACGACCATACGTTGAGATTTTTTTAAACAATAATTCATTTTCGTTATAGCAAACCATGAATATTTGACTGGTATTTGGTAATTAAAAACAAATGCGATACAGTATCAGGAAAGGAAACTCTTGGTGTTTTTTTAAATTATTCTCAAGGAAAAACTGAAAAGAGACATTAGCATATCCAAACCCTTCAGGGTATTTACTTAAATTTGCCTGTATATAAACTTATCTTTAAACTTATCTATATCGTAACAGAACAGATCGTAAATGAATTGTCGTCGGTGCATCATCTGTTCTTATGAACTGTGTTTGTGATCTTTTCTGTGTGTTTTGTCTTTTCTTTTAGTTTTAATGTGGAAGGGAAGGAAACGTGCAAAACACATCTTTCTCGGGATCCTGGCCCTGGTGGTCATCTACGTGCTCTTCCTCACCTTCGACGGCAGACTGACTTTCCAGCCCTACATGTCCACGACGACATTTTACGTGGCGTACCCCGGGAACTACACCATCATCATGGACAACACGCCTGTGTGTAGGACCAGGAATCCCTTCCTGGTCCTGATGGTCCCCGTCGCACCTCGTGGTGTGAAGTTCCGTCACACTATTCGAAGGACGTGGGGAAGTGAGAGAACAGTTCTGGGTCAGAGGGTGGACACCATCTTCTTACTGGGCCTCCCCAGTGGAGAGGAAACTGAGCAGCAGCAGGAGCTGCTCTTCTGGGAGAACGAACAGTACCAAGACATGATCCAGAGCGGCTTCCTGGACAGTTACCGCAACCTGACCATCAAGACCATGTTCATGCTGGAGTGGTTGGTCAAGAACTGCAAGAATACGTCGTATGTCATGAAGATAGACTCAGATATGTTACTTCATGTCCCGAACTTGGTCAAACTCCTGCTGGACCCCATCACGCCCAAACACAACTACATGTCAGGGCTGGTGTGGTGGCACAGCCAGGTCCTGAGGAACCCATTTAATAAGTTCTACATGCCCAGACACGTGATTGCGGAGCCGGAGTACCCACCGTACCCTCTGGGCATGGCCTACGTCATGTCCATGGATCTGCCCGAGAAGATCCTCAGTATCTCAACAGAAATCAAACCAATCTACATCGAAGACGCCTACCTGGGCATGTGCCTACAGCACCTGGGCATCTTCCCCACCGACCCCCCGGACACGGACTTGTACATCGTCAAGCCCGTTCATCCTCTGAGCAACTGCAGCCTTACAAAAGTTATAGCCGTGACGACGACGGGCATCGACCTCATGAACATTTACTGGGCGAGGATTCAAGACTCTGAAACCACATGTAATTTGACATATTATTACTACTACTACTAATGAGGTGAAGTAGAGGTGCAGTATAGAAATGACGTGGAACGGTGTCCTGTCTGTTTACCAGAAATGTAGTTTTGGCTTTTTTTTAATTTTTTTTTAAATTTTTGGTGACAAGATGAACTTTTGCTGAACCTGAAATATGTTTTCAAGTACAAATTGGAAAAAAAGTGTGTTTGTCTTAAAGACAAGGTTTACAGAAGGTCTTTATTAGGGATGTCCGATATGCCGATGATATCCGAACACTTGAGTTCCAATTCCGTTATCAACCAACACCGATATATAGGCCTGGTAATATTTATTTATTTATCTGTGTAAACCACTGTAAGAGTTGCTGACATCAGCATTCTGCCTACCATCCACTATGAGTATTAAAATAGATTAATAAAATGGGCTGCAATACTGCCATCTAGTGGCTTTCACTTTCATGTACAGTTGTTTTTTCCTCCAAATTTTTTTGGTGAAAGCCAGGCATTATCGGAGAAAGAAATCGGTAACAATTCTGACAGATATTACGTGATCATGCTAATATCGGGGGGCGATAATATCGGTCGGGATCAAGATAAGGCATCCCTAGTCTTTATTCTAAAGTGGGGGTTTTGGGTAGAATAAACGTGTTCTGGTGACAGGATGCATACGCACAAAAAAACCCAATTCAGTCCAGTTCAGTCTGCTCTGGTGTTCGCCACCTGCTGTTGTTCAGCGGTATTTTTCATTTCACTCCAAACACAGTAAACACTCGTCTGTCGTGACGGAGACTCGCGACACACTAAAGAGTAAGGATCGGAACATATGATGAACGTAACATGAACGTTTCATTTCCGATAGTCGACCTCATCGCTCGCTTACAGAAACCACTCCAAAAGAACACGACCGAGCCACTTGTTCGCAGTAACTAATATTTGAAAATAAAATTAACGCTTTGAGAAAAAAAAGGACTTTTGAGGAAAGATGTGCGATTTTATAAAATAATGACTTTACTTTTAGGTTGAAAAGTTCTTCTGAATTGTTGGTGGTGTCAAAGGGAAGTTGTTTTAAGGAAAGTGAAGCGCTTAAGTATTTTCTTTGTTCTTGGATCTTTGATTTCAAATATCTTTATTTTTTCACTTTCACTGAAGTTCATTTCCTGTGAGAGTCGGACCACAGGGATCAAGATAAGGCTTTTTATTTTAGCTAGAGTTTGGTTTTTTTTTGGCTAACGAGGTTGCTGTAGGTGGGAGCGAAACTAGAAAAATGTGTGGACTTTCTGAATTCTGTGCTGTATTTATGGGCATGTGTTTGGTGACGACATCATGTCAGTGTCTGAGGTTCTGTTGTTTTCATTTTTTTAAATAAATAAACAGATTTTTTATAAATGTGGTCTGAACACGTGCTGCTGCACTCGAGACTCAAAGTTACTCCTTGTTACTACGAAACACAGTATCCAGGTCCTTCATTGGCGTGTACTCCTACACCTCATGTGACGATGACACAACCCAGAATCAGAACAATAACCAGGCGTTACATAAAACATTCCGTCAGGTAAATTCACCTGCATTAAGGCTTCGGGTTTCAGCGAACCGTCGTACAGTCAGACTGACAGCTTGGACTGTGACGGTGACACCTATAGGCAGAAACTACTTCCGTTAAGTGGAAAAAGGGTGTGTGTGTGTGTGTTATGAGGTGTTGCGGTTCTTGTGGGGACACTTTGCAAAAATTGAAATGTTAAGGATCAATATTTAGTTTGAAGATAAAAGTAAAGTTTGTGTCAGAGTTCGGCAAATGGTAAAGGTTACGGTGAGGTGATGTTCACTGTGTGTGTGTGTGTGTGTCTGTGTGTGTGTGGGCCGCATGTTGGGGTTTTGTGGGCTGGAAGTGGCCCCCGGGCCATATTTTGAGACCCGTTGACATGGTATCTGCTCTATGACCGACTGAAAAACGAGTCCAGCTCTGAACCGCTGGACCACCGTCCTGGAGTCACGACCTCAGCTGCTGTTTCTCTTCTCTCCTCGAAACGTTTGTTCGAAGTTCATGTAGAAAAACAATTCATACATCCTGTCTCTTTAAGGAGGTTTTCTTCATATTTATATAGATATTTACTGTAGATGTTTACACAGGGACAACAAAGGATGGGCTCGTTACCAACGGGTAATCCTGAAGACAAAGAGGACATTGTTTCTAAGTGTGTTTTCTTAGTGTGTAATCTCTGTTGCCATACAGGCGTTGTTCTGTTGACACTGTTGACACTGTTGACACTGTTGACAGAACAAACTAATCTGCCTGTCCTAGTGTGATTGTTGTTTCACAAACGGTTGAAACAGTCAGTGGCGCTGACCACATCAAAAAGACACTGGGTTTTTATTATCTCACACTTCAAGACAGATTTAATAAACAGGTGATGTATATGTGGATATATTTATATATATATTTTCTTGGTATGTACATGTGGGGAATACTTTAAAAATATATTGATCATAATAATTTTACCATGAATGTTTGTTTTGAATGTTTCAGACAGACAGACAGACAGACAGAGAGACAGACAGACAGACTGACAGACGGTCAGGTAGATAGCAGTTTATTAGTCCCTCTGGAGTTAGATAGCAGTTTATTAATCCCTCTGGAGTAAACAAAAGTAAACAAACCAGTAGCTGAAAGTGAAACGGACAAGACGCTACGCTTTGATTTTATTGACAAAGAAGCATTTTTAATGAAAAAAAAAAAATTTCAGTGTGGTAGAAATATATATTTATATATATACACATATGTGTGTGTGTGTGGGGTGTCGGTGGCTTCAGCAGCGACGACTGACAACAGCTGCTGCTGCCTGGTGTACGAAACCATGGTTGCTGCCCCCATGTGGTGGCAGCACGGTAGTGCAAAGGGTTGAAATATACAGGATTCTAAAACAGCAGTGTGACAGAACTCTGTAATCCACAGGTCCAACTTTACAGTTTGAGGTAAATTTTTGTTTTACTTCTATTTTTCATTGCATTTTAAATCTAAAAAAGTGATTTAATTTTCCAACAAGCTCGATAAAAACAAACATCCTTGTCTGGTGTTTGGTGTCATGAGTGAGATCACAGTGATGAGAGCTGATTATTGCTAAGAAAAATTAAAATAATATTTGTATGGACTCACTTAGACTCCTGAAAATCCTTCAACATTTTAAACACAAAATAAAATCTCAGTCTGTGCCTCTGAAGTTCTAACACCTCACTGCTGTTCATGTCTGAAGTTCTTTGACTGGCAAATACATAAGCATGTATATATATATATATATACTGTATATATATACATATATATGTTATATATATATATATATATATACTTGATACTTGCTTATTCATCAAACATGAATCGTTGAAACTCATTTGTCTGTGAGTTCTTTTGCCAACAAACGTTTCAAACACATTCACATTTGTTTGACTTTTACAAAAGGTTCCCACCTGAGCAGAAACCTTCAAGACAGACCAGGCCACACAGCGCCCCGCAGTGGTGAAGTGTACAGACTGCCTCACCGTCAGGTTGACTTCATTCTTGACCTTTATCATTTACTTTATTGCTGATGTGCAAAAAGAACTCGACCTCACTGTCTTTTTCTGAGTCCGTGTGTTGCGTCCGAGACGTGTCGACTGGTGATCGGAAACGATCACAGGAGATCTCACAGCTCAGCATTTAGTCTGCGGGTCTTTGATTCTGTCCCAGTAACTCTTCATCAGTCTGATGTTTGGTGTCGTCATGGCGACCACCCTGGAGAGGTTGCAGTCGCTCAGAGGATGCTCAGGATCCACCAAGAACATCCCCGGCTCCGGGGGGTTGATGGGCAGAATACCTAGAAACTTCAGACACATGCCCAGGTAGGCGTCCTCGATGTAGATGGGTTTGATGTGCGTGGAGACGCTGAGAAGTTTCCCAGGAACGTCCAGAGACATGATGTAGGCCATGCCCAGAGGGTAGGGAGGGTACTCGGGCTCAGTGATGACCTCCGGTGGCAGGTAGAACCTGTTTCCTGGGTCTCTGAGAACCGGGCTGTGCCACCACACCAAACCTGACATGTAGTTCTCCTCTGGAGTTCTGGAATCCACGAGAAGCTTCACCAAATTAGGAACGTGGACCAACATGTCTGAGTCTATCTTCATGATGTATGAAGTGTTTCTGCAGTTTTCAACCACCCACTCCAGCATGAACATGGTCTTGATGGTCAGGTTGCGGTAACTGTCCAGGAAGTTGCTCTGGATCATGTCGTGGTGCTGCTCGTTCTCCCACCGCAGCTGCCTCTGCCGTTCCCTTCTCCTCTGGTCATGCCCAGTAAAAAGAGGGTCTCCACCTCCTGGCCGTGGACCATCTTCTCACCTCCCCAGGTCTGCCGGATGGCGTCCCGATCTTCCACATTACTTGGTGCGACTGGAATTATCAGGATCAGGAACGGGTTCTTGGTTCTACAGACGTAAGTGTTGTCCATGACGACGGGGTATCTTTTTGGGTAGGCCACGTGGTACGGACCGGGATCCTCAAACTCCGGTTCTTCATACTCTTCAATGTTTTCGGACAAATTGTTACTGACGTATGAAACCTGAGGCCTGTTCCACATCTCCCATCTCCTGTCAGTGTTGATGTAGATGATGTAGATCGTAGCCAATCCCAGGATGCCGACAAACATGTGTTTGATCTGCGATGTCTTCCTCTCCATTAAAGCTGGAAAAAGAAAAGAGAGTCAGTTTAATCACATGACTGGTACAGTACAGTACGGTACAGTACAGTACAGTACGGTACAGTACAACAGCTTTAGACACTGCAACCTCCCTTGTACCATGGACCGGTATTACAGCGCCATCGTTGGAGGATGATTACATTTTCAAAATAAAACATCTCGTAGACTTTCTTCTGTAATTTGCAAGATGTTTGACTTGTGATTATGTCAGTCCTGTCGGTGATTTCACTCTCAAATCTTAGTCCTGGGTTCTTGGCAGGACCCAAATTCAGGGGTGGATTTTCGTTGCGTCACAACAAAAAAAAAAAAAAAGAAAAGTCGTCGTAGGCAGACTGTATGAGACATCTGTCGGATTTTAATGAGAAATACCTGAAACATGGCTGCTGTAGTTGTACGACACTTCTTTAGACACTGCTTCACTGTATGAACAACAATTGTCTACAGCACCACAAGGCCACTAGGGGGCCTCATGTGGTAATCCTCATGTGGAAATCCTGCGATCCAGTTGTTTTTTTTTCCGGGTTTTATTTCTGTCTTGATTCATTAAAATGTTTTAATCGCACGCACTGTGAGTGGAGTGTATGTTATAAACGTTATAACAGTACAATAAAGACGAAGGAGTACAAAGGGTGAGAGAACGATAGAGTGAGTGAGTGAGTGAGTGAGTGAGTGAGAGAGTGAGAGAGTGAGAGTGAACGCAGCAGCAGGTCCGACCGGCTCCGTCACTGCTGTTAAGTTGTTGAGTCACAGAAGAAATAGGTTGATTGTTTAAAAAACAAAAAAAAAAGAAACCTGAGTGGTGGCACGCTCACAGATTAGCACGCTCACAGATTAGCCTACCTTACCTTCATCTTCAGCCTTGCGGCGTCCTGTTAGCTTACTGGCTTCCTTTAAAAATGCCAGTGAACAATCAATGAAGCCAAATCATCTGTAACATGGGTTATAACATGTGCGTTTACAGCACCCCCTGCAGACGAGGTAGGAGACTTACATGCTTTGCACTTGGAAATACAGCACATGGATACATAAAATGGTCTGAGGACAAACATTCAGATTGGTAAAAAAAAAAAGAGGCAAAAAAGAAAAATATTCCTGTCTTTTTTGCTGCTCAGTGTGAACATAGAACCCACTCGACTGGAAAATGTGGTAACAGCTTCACGCCATCTTAGGTAACAGTTAAACAGGTTTTTTCTTAACAATGGTACATGACCCCATAGCTTCCACGCCATTCACTGTCATACTGACATGTGTCCACCGATGGTGCTATTGTAACGTGGAGGGTCTTGGCCGACGTCTCTATATGGAATTTTAAAATTAAACCTCACCCAAAAAAAAAGAAAGAAAGAAAAGAACCAGAGGGCGTGAGAGGTCATGTGACTCAAAACTGCCATCAATTAATGAGTCGTCTGATTCCAGTGGGTTATTTTTAGGTCTGACAGAGTAGACGCTGTAATTTAAGACATCAGAAAAGAAGGATTTGTGACAAGCAACAAAAGACACTGAGCTCCAGTTCTAAGATGTTGGAGAGAACTGTCAAAGACTCTCCTCACCTGGGGACACTAAAAGGTCCCAATACTGGAAAACAATATTTTTGTTGTGGAGCAATTTTATACTTGAGCGAGTATTAAATTCAAGAGATGTTTATAAAATCACGTATACTGACTTTACGGCTACAGGTTTTCATAAAAACACGCACGATGTATGATAAATACTATTACATTTAAATAATCACCTATTATACAAAATTCTACACATGAGTAATAATTGAGTTAAATTAAATAAAAGTAACTGATTAAAAATATTTTTTTTAATTATTAGTAATTTTAGTTTTTAAATGGTTTGATCAGGTCCACAAACTCTCTATTTCTATTCTTTATCCTTAGAAAGAAACACGTTAGTTTTGCATTACCGCCCCCTACAGGATGTATCATTCACTGGCGAACACACCCACCATACAGTTGCAAGAACAATTAAGGAATTAAATTATTAAAGTATATTTAAAAATTAGCAGTACACCCAGTGAGTGGATGGTGTTACAGTGGATGAACACAGTGAAAGATAAACATTTTCTTTTTTTTTTTTTAAATCCCGTAATTCAGACTCAGACCGCGGTTTCAGTGACTGCTTTATGACTTCTATCCCGTTCGTGCTGCATCACAGATCGACTTTAACGTCATGTTGAATTTGATAAAGACATAGTGTCAAAGACCACGGAGTCATAAACTTTATCGGAACAGATATAAACGATTGTAAATGATGGAGGATCCACGGAGCCACAGGTGTCTGTGTCACTGTCACTCTGCCAACTCACGTTTTCAGTCACAAGATAAAAAATATATAACTAATAATACACACACACACACAGAGTGAAATGTGTTAAAATATTTGAGGTTATCAATATAAAAATAACTTACTTCACGGACGAACAGTGGTTTTGATTCGTGCGCACTCGGTCGTTTCGACGCCGATTCATCGAGTGCGTTTTCACAACAGTTTAATAAGCGCTTGGACCTGAACTCACTGTCCTGCCGTACCTTCGCTTTAGGTCCCGTCCCGAATCCTCTCTGTCGGTCTGCGCTGTCCACTCTGTAGCGGCTAATGCCCCAGGGATGGCGCTGTCGACACAGAGGCGAACAGAGTTACAGCAAGTGCCAGTTTCAGCCCGCGGCGACCGAGTGATTGGAGCCAGTGCCTCAGTCCAAAATAAGTGACTGTGCAGGAGCGCGCGCGCACGCACACACACACACACCTGCCCATTGTCTGGCCACGACTTTAGACTGGAACTGGACCCCCCCCCTCCTCATCCCTCCCCCGAAATAAAATCACTCACCCGAACAACCTCGGCCCACACCCTGTGTCTACGTTTTCTATCATCTCTCTGTTTGTAAAGCTCTCAGTTTAGAGTTTCACCCACAACTTCATTGTTCACGAATGAATAAGGCCTTATGGGTAAAAAAGAAAGAAAGAACAACAACAAGACACAGAGCAAACGGAAGGACAGGAAAGAGCTGATGAGTCAACAGGTCAAGTTAAGGTGGAAATAAATACTGGTGCTGTAATCTGTCCTATATATTTATTTATGTGTCGTACAGTAACAGTTTATATGTTGTACTAAACTGTACTTTGTACAATATACATATATTACATATTATATATGTATACGTATATATAAATATATAAACTGTCATTTGAGAGATTTGTGGTTTGCACTTATTTAATTTTTTTTTTTTAAAGCGTCCATTTTGATTAAAATTAAACGTTTAATTAAAAAATATATCATCAATGCTGTGATTTAATCACAGTTTTTTTCTTTCAATTTGTTTTTATTTTTATTTTTATTTTATTATCGTCCTTTGGTTAATGGTCCCAGAAACAGGGTTGAGGGTGAAACTCCTTTTCTTCCTTCACAGAAAACCCCGTACGTGTTAAACTGGCTTGAGGTCACGTGATTGTTGTGACAACACCACGAAAGTTGTTGAAAGTTTTTTCTTATTTATTTCCATAACAACACAAGAGGTGGTGTCGTTCCAGAAAGTTCTCACCCGTGACTTGTGTTGCCGAAGAAATAACCAGAAATGACCAAAATCATTTGCCGTTTATGCTCAACACAACCCCCGTTACATTTATTATGTCGTTATTATTTCAAAATGCAACAATACATATTTTTAACCAATTAACCAGGTTTGTAAAGTAAATGAACTTACATGCTGGACTTTATCATGTAAAACACTGAGTTTTATATATTTATATTATAATTTTATAAAGGGAATATTTAAAATTTCAAAGTAATTTGAGACCAATTATTAGAACTATAATTCAATCCGTTTATGGATCAGACGCGTTGCGGCAAAAACGTTTCTGGAAATTCCATATTTCCACCACTAGATGTCGCAAATGTCTACATTTTTAATGGAATTAGAGTTCATACAACACACCTTCGAATCCAGAACAGTTTTTTAAATTGTTTGATTCGTTTTATTTTCCATTAGCCGTGAAGAATATTGTTTTTTTTAATCAAATAATGTAAATGTACTACTTTACAAACTCCTCTTTATCGAAATTTCTTTTTATTTTTAATGTATTTTTTTGTAAATAGAATAATCTTTAGCTGTGTATTATTTAACTTTGTCGTATCAGCACCGCTTGTCTGTTTCTTTTATTATTTATTATTTATCGTTTGGAAAACCTGACCTGATACGAACAAGTTTAGGATTTTTTTTTAAAAGAAATTTAAAGTTGAGTGGGAGTAAAGTTTATAATTTGGGAGGTTTCGGGAGACGTTAAGGCCTCAGCAGGAGGACACGTTCAAACGGCCGCTGTCAGTGAGGCGGAGGCCGCGGTCAATGAGGCGGAGGCCGCTGTTGTCACCGACCGCTGTGAGACGACACATGACGCATGATAAGTGATTGTTTAATCAGTTCTACGTGTTAATGGTGATATAAAACAAAAGTATTTCAATACGCAGTAAAACCCGGCCGCAGACAAACTCGTTGTCACCAGTGGAATGACGCAACCTGCGAGGGAAGACCCAGGGTTTAGACGGCACCACTTTCCCAAACTAGGTGATCGCGTTCTGTTGTTTTCGAGTTTTTAAATATGTGTATATATATTTTTATTTTATTTTTTTAGAAAGAGAGAGAGATTGTGTTTCCTCCTAGTGGAACTATTTCAGTCCCTTTTCAGTTTCATCTTTGTATTTGTTGACGAATCACAGAATCAACAGTAAATATCCGCCGCCACCACTGGGGTGCGTCAGGAAATATCCGAGGCCAAAACGCCGGCGTCGCAGTGATAGTATCAGTAAAAAAAGAAAAGAAAAGAAGTACATGAAATAAATAGGAATATTCTCCACTGATCTGTGTTAAAGGTGTATTTTCAGTTTGACTCTACACATTTTATTGACATTTTATTAAGTAAAAATCGCTGAATTTGAGTATTTCGCGGACAAATACAGGGCAGAAACCCCGGATGAAGCCGTGGGGAGCTGTGACTCATATCTGACAGCGTGAGCCAACACAAACTGGGTCATGACCTCAGATCATATAACCAATATGAGCTTCACAGAAATATTTGTGCTACATCATGACTATGTGCAGTCGCTGTCACGTCTCTAATGTCTGTGGTAGAGAAAGTGCAGTCAGCGGGGGAGGCAGGCAGTACTCTACATCACCTCAAGGGGGCGTCTAAACAGATATGGTTCTATATGGTTCTGTGTATGTTTATGATGATGTCAGTGGAACTGAAACAGGAATGTTGATGGGATATGAACCATTACCAGATGATGATGATGTTGGATGAACAGTGAAATAAGATGCTCTTTTTGGTTCTTACAGTTGTAAATCTGACTTCAGACGAGTCTGTGCCTCGGCAGCCATGAACCTCACCGCACATCACTGGATGGTATCGTCGTCCACCGACACTGACGTGTCACAGGGCAGGTCAGTTTGACCCGTTTTAAACTACTTTTATTGGCGAATTACTGTGTTTTTAGGGAAGCGCTTTACCTTGGCTGGATAAAAATGATGGCGTTATCGCAGTAACACTGTGAAATACAGATATACGACCGTTTTGTTACCAATGACAACAGGTTCTTGCCTATTAGTCTGTCCACCAGTCTAATCCGGTCCAAAACAGCACTCGTGTCTTGATTGTATTTTCCACATTAAAAAAAACTAAAAACCAATTAATTTGTTCCAGCCCCCAAAAATATACCGTATTATTAATTCATTAAATTATGCCCCCAGCTAAACATGGAAAACAGAACTGAAGAAGTTTCTTGGATCAGAGGTGAAACGTCTTCGAGAAGTTGCCTTCGATGTGAAGATGACCAGGATGACTGAGGAGCTACAGGACAATGCAGGTAATTCAAACCGCGGGATCGTCTTCAACTTTAAGGTTCCCAAAGTTCTAGGAATCAACCAATGAGCGCAGCCGTATCACATCACAAAGAAAAAAACAAAACAAAAAACAAACATGCAACCTCCTCAAAAACAACACAAAGCCAAGGGTGGTTCACTTCACGGGGTTTGTTTTAGTTGAATCTCTTACATACGATACCTTATGTGCCTTTTCCCAAAAGAACCAAGAGAATGTAAGATGTTGACATGTTCCCAGTAGCAGCAGTCTGATTCAACTTCCTCCACACTAAATTATCTTGATTAATTATCTTAATGGATGTTTTTACCACACTAATATCACTTTGAAGGAGGCACAGTTTGTCTGTACAAGGTTTGGAGAGAAAAAAATACAGTGTTTTTGTCTTTAAAATTGTTATGAGTTCCAGAGTTTGGCCTTAGAGATTAAAAAAAGTAATAAAATAAATGTTATCATGCCCCTCTAAAAATCGTAGTGCAGATGAGAACTATAGATGATAAGAATTGGGCGTCAACTTGGCCCTGAGTCGTTTATAACCTGAACAGAGAACAGAGAAGAGTGGTGTTGTTTGCACAACAAACTCCAAATAGTTTTAGTGTCAACATTTACCTTCATAAACACAGCAGCGGTGCACGCAGAACTGTTCAGAACTGTGGCGTCTGATGGCAGTGCAGTATCAACTACCACGCTAAAGGATTTAGATCTTGGCAAAATGAACACAAGAATAAACGACACACGTGACGATTAAACAGCAGCAACAGTGATTTTAGCTGCAGTAACATTTACCTGTCACTCAATAACAGAACACTACACTTGAATTAGCTTTGCAGCGACAACACTGTCCTGTCATTATACACCAGAAGAGCCCCTGAGGACACTGACTGGGCAAACTGTGCCTCAGGCCCCGCCCACATCAGGGCTTTGTGTCACATCCTAACAGCAAAACGCAAAACTCCCTGGAGAGTCACACTTTCTGAAGTTACAAACTGATTCTTACTTAGATGTTATTGCTGCACCAAATGTCCCCCTCCATCAAAACCTCCAGATGTGACAAATCCCCCAACATGATGTTAAGCAACCACAACTTTGTTGATTCCTTAAAAAAAAATTCAGTTTAAAACTTTAGTTCAGTTTTCTTTGACCGGACAAGGGTCTCCTGGCTTCTTCAGCTCTGTCCAGTAGTCGATCAACTGCTGCGAGGAACCAAGGATGTAGGTGATGATCTTGGAGTATTTACAGCGATCAAACTTCCCACTATAGGCTTGAAACTGCCAGGGGTCTGGGGGCGACGTCGGTCCCAACCCGAGCTTCTTCATGCACATTCCGATGTAGGCATCCTCTATGTTGAAGGGCTTTATGAGTTTGGAGATTTCCACGTATTTTGCTGGAAGGTCATTGGAGAAGACATACCCCATGCCCAGCGTGTAGGTTGGGTACAGGCTGTCTGGGTACAACTCCACAGGGACGTACCATTTGGAATTCTTGTCCCTGATGGGTTCCCTGTTCCACATAAGCAATCCTGTCAGGTAGTTCTGCCTGGGAATGCCCTGCAACATGAGCATTTTCACCAGGTTGTCAATATTAAGGAACATGTCACTATCAGTTTTCATGCCATACGCCGCGCTCGGACAACGGGTCGCTAGCCAGTCCATTATCACCATGGTTTTGATGGTCAGATTAAGGTAGCTGTCGATGAAGTTACTCTGCAGGAGGTCGTGGTGCTGAAGGTTCTCCTGCTGGAGCTTCTCCTTCTGCTGCTCATGGTCGCCATTCTTAGACAGACCCAGCATGAAGAGCGTGAACACGGTCTGCCCCTGCACCACTTTGTCTTTGCCCCATGTCGTTCGGATGGCATTCCGAGCATCAGTGTTTTGGGGGGTTACAGTGACCATCAACACCAGGAACGGAGTCTGATTTTTGCAGAGATCTTCATTATCCATTATGAACTGGTAGTTTCGAGGGTAGGCTTGATGGTACTGAAACTCTGGGGGTGCTGTAGTTGTAGTAGGAGGAAGAGGAGGAGGAGGAGGAGTTAATGTTGAGCTGGTTGGGAAAGATGTGGAGGTGGTTTCATTGTTGACTGTTAGTCTGGGCTGTAGTTGCTCATAAAGATGGGGAGATTGGAGGGTCCTGTAATGTTGAGCTGGTTGGGAAAGATGTGGAGGTGGTTTCATTGTTGACTGTTAGTCTGGGCTGTAGTTGCTCATAAAGATGGGGAGATTGGAGGGTCCTGTCGAAAAAAACCCTCTGGTGTTGTTGGAAAGAAAACCCTTCCCACCATTTCATAGAGTCTGACAGATAAAAACACAAGACTAAGGCTGCAAGAGAGAAGAAGAGGAGGACTTTGAACCAGAAGCGAAGGCATGGTCTCGTGGGAAGAATCAAATCCTTACAGAGTTTTCTAGAAAGACAAGAACAAAGATATCGGAATGAGATGAGTAACACCAGCTTCAAGTTTGTTCTTGAGGTGTTTTTATTTGAACAGCTGCAGCTACTACAGTTAATACGGTAAAATTTAGACGACTTTAGACAACTATGACTGAAGTTGTTAGATATTCCCAGAAAGTCAGTGGTTTAAGTAAAAAAAAAAAAAAGTCCCTAAAACCACACACATTATTTAAAGTTTTTAATTTTTATACACTTGTATTTGTTGTTTTGTTTGTTTTTTAATCTAATTTAAAATGTTTTCAAAAAAAGTTTAAAATCAGTTTTGTCATTTTCTAGAAATCAAATCCACCAAACAAACGAACAAAATATTAATGAAACATTGAGGGTTGTTGGTGTTGATTTTTGTGGGTTTTTTTTTTTCACATTAATAATTGAAAACTGGTGGAGAAATAAGTAAAAAAAAAGTTTAAAATCAGTTTTGTCATTTTCTAGAAATCAAATCCACCAAACAAACAAACAAAATATTATTGAGGATTGTTGGTGTTGATTTTTGTGGGGGTTTTTTTCACATTAATAATTTAAAACTGGTGGAGAAATAAGTAAAAAAAAAAACATGCAACTTCTTTTGTCTTCAATGTTAAAACACTGACATACCTGTTGAAGGAGAAGGATGTTGTAATAGAATAACCAGTTGCATATCTAACACTTTTATCTGTAGAACGAGTCACACTGGCTCTACATGATCTTAACACACTGTGTTAAACCAATGTCCACAGGCAGCAGTCGTAAACGTTACAGATTAGTTCACTATTCTGGGCTCGTGCTTTGGTTCTTTGCTTTTTCATGTTTATTTTGTTGAACAAATCCTCACTGGCAACGTCTTATTTTCAATCACACACTTTTACTGCCTTAGTGGTGATAGTGTAATAAGTCATTAGGTGATAAATTAATTTGTGCATCATATAATTGCTCAATTGAAGAACATTATATGTGTCCATTAACTGAGTCCGATAACGAGATACGATGACACGTCGGACCCTGGAGGTGACACGGCGCTTCCGTGTCCGTCAAAATGCGCAAAAAAGTGTTGGATTTTTGTCACAGCAGACACTGAAGAAACAGTGAAACACGGGCTTTTTTTGTGTTTTTTTTTAGTATAATTATAAGTTTGGGGATTTTTTTTTTGTTTTTTGTTTGTTTTGTTTGTTTTTAGACAGTTTTCAATTACATTTTTAAAGCGCTCACCTTTTTTTCCTGATGACGCCTGACGTCCACTCCGGGTCCCCCACGTCCGATGACGCCATCCGTCAAATCTTCCTTTTCAAAAGTAACTCCTGTCTTGTCTGCACACCAGCGCGTTGGCCGCAGAGTCCAAGGAAGACTGCGGCAGTCCGTCAGTCTTCACTGCAAGAGGCACAGTCACCAGCCCGGTAATGAGTAACACGGCAGATACCTCAGTGGGTGTGAGACAGATACAGAGAAAGAGGTGCGTGTAGGTGGGAGGGGGATGGAGTGATGGCGGGGGGAATGGGAGGGGGCGGTGGCCGTGCCGGGTCAGGTTCCGTCGCTGGTGCACAGGTACATCCCACTCGTTAGGGAATTGAACGTTACTAGAGCGCGTCTATATTAGCGGTTCCAAGAATGAACAGCAAAAGAAAAGCGGTGTATCAGGTTAGAGGATCAAAAATTTACCAGGTTTAAAGTGAGTTTCTTTTTTCTACCCACTTTAATTCCAGAGTGGACAGGGTTAGGGTTAGGGAACCAATGACCTTCCAGTTATTTCATGGTCTTTTGACACACTCTGATATATATGTATATGTATATATATATACATATAAATACATATATACATATAAATACATATATACATATAAATACATATATACATATAAATACATAAACATGTATATACATATATACACATATATACATATGTATGTATATATATGTTTATGTATTTATATGTATATATGTATGTGTATATATGTATATATTTGTAATATATTTTATTCATTTCTATCTCTGTAGGTGTTTTGATGTGCTGCATGGATTTCTTACAAACAAGGAACATTTGTCAAAGGACAAGTTTAAGGGTTTGTTGTTTTTCCGGTCAGCCTCAGTAGGCTGTGCTGATGTCACGATGATGTCATGCAGTTGGACCCTTACAGTTCACGGGACAGAATGTGTGAATCAGTGGAGGCCCCTCCTATTTCTACCTTTGCGTGTGTTTTTGCTTGCTTTGCGTTTTCTGTCAGTCGCTCTGGTCAATTATATCATTTTAGAACGTGAACTCTGTTACTGATTGACAGTTTATAGTGTTTTTGGACAGGTTGTGGCAATGGTTTGGAAGCAACACTTGGTGGCAGGTTCTACCAGCCACCAACATAAAAAAAATGTTATGCAACTTATTTTTTTTTCATTAGCATAAATCAGCTTTGACACATAAACATCCACCTGCTGTTATTTGTGCTGCTGTTCCAGCGATGTACAAAAAAACCCAAACTTTTTGGGTGATAATTAATCATCATTTTTTTTCTCAATTAATTCTGAGAATAATTAATCGCTGCTCTGCGATTACCGGTAATCAGATTTAACATTTGAATTTTTTCACAGCTTTTAATTAAATACAATAAAAATCAATGACAACAATAGTCAGACAGAAAATCTATTTTTTATATATATATATTTATTGTTATATTTTCACAGAATCATCATTTCAGTCGCCAAAACCGGTGACGTCCACAGAACGGGTTGCAGTGGCCATGACGTGAAAAACCACATCTGCTGTCAAGTTTTTTAAAAAATCGATATGAAAAGTAGATTTATACACTTTACATTTGTGTAAATATTTTTGTTCACTATAATATGCGATACATTACAATTAAAACACAAGGCACTTTTGAAATACTGATAAGGATAAAGCAAAGTGCAAACAAGAGTCAGGATACAAGGACACCGATACAGGCCCCCTTGTGGCCATTGTCAAACATTTCCCATTGGAAAAAAACAACACTTTCTACCTATCTTGGTTTGTACCTTATCTTTTGTACCCAAGGATAATCAGCAAATGTGTACCCTCGACTGCTGGATACACACACTTGTCTAAGTCGCTGCTAAATGAACGTGTTCCTCAGTTTGTCACAACAACCAGGCCGACCTCGTCAGGATCGTTGTCTTCCAACTGATAAGCAGAGCAAATACCATCAAAGTATAAACAGATACGGTGAAAGAAGTGACACAGACACCGAGTTTTCTTTCATTTTCTCCTGTGACTTAAAAAAGTCACATGGTCAAACTGATATCTGTGTGAGGATCGTTACATCTGTCACATGTTGTGCATCAAGGTCACGTTGTGTGAAAAAACACCGAGCGCAGCAGCTGAGCGCCGCTGAGTTTGAAACCAAACTAGCAGTAACCCAGAAAAACAGAAGGTAACGTGAGGCTTGAGGGGGACCGGGGGGGACAGGGGGGGGTGTGATGGGAGGGAGGGGTGTGATGGGAGGGAGGGACTCAGCAAGGGAGGCGATCATTGTGTTTTCTGTGGACCAGGATTCAAAGAGGTCTCCCATACCCATGATGCCACGGCCTGCTGTCGACCAGGTCAGATACTTCTTGTGTGTATTCATGTGTACAGGACGGAGTGCCGGCTGTGTTTGCCAAGCGCCCCACCCTTCTGCTTTGTTTTATGAATCAGATGAAACATTGTGTTTTTCTAGAGCAGCAGTCAGTGAGGGCTGTCACTGGGTTGTCAACAACATTTTCACAAACAGAGTGAGCTGTTTGATTTAAAGTGATTGTCTGAAGTAAAACTCACGTAAACGTACCGTAAAGTCGTAAAAAAACGTAAAGTCAATAACGTACCGGTGTAGTGGCGTGGTATCAGGTGTGGTATCAGGGTGAAAACCGTGAGTTTTCACCCTGTGATGTGTTCATACAGGAGCAGCTGTAGGTTTAGCTGCCGCTGAAATCTTTCGCCGTAGGTTTAGCTGCCGCTGAAATCTTTCGTGGAAGAATCGATATCAATATTTTTTTTCATTATTAGTAGTTTCAAAGTAACCGTGGGTGTTTCCCCCGACACTCCAAGTGTTTGTGGAATAAACTTTTAAGAGAAGTGAAGCTTAACTTTGGCCCAAAATAGCTTCACTGCCAAGAATTACTAGAACATAAGCCAAATGAATCCTATTTGACCAAAAATAAAGTTGGATTAGCTAAAAAAAAGCATGTCTATAGCGTGAAGCTGCTGCCAGTATCCTGAGCAGAAACAGTGGAAACTAAAACCCTTCTAATCTTAAAAAAAAAACAAAAACGTTTAACGGGTTTTTCCTGTTTGTTGAAACCATCCAGGAAAACAAGGTCCCTCTGGAAAAGTTCGGGCATTAAACAAACCTGTCAGCAGGTGTGTGAAGCTGAAAATCAGTGAATGTCACGTTAGCAGGGTGGGAACGTTGAAGTTGACGGAGTCTCAATTTTTAGGCCGTGATTTAACGACATGCTAATGCTAAATGCTGGGCAAGTTCGAATCCCGGTCAGAGCGGTTGGTACCTTCCAGTGGACTCAGCACCTGCAGGAAGGTTCAGGGGGGGTTGGTACGGTGCAGTGTGATGTGGGTGGTGACTGCTGCCCCCGCGACCTGGTAACGGATGAAAATGGATGGATGGATGGATGGATGGATGGAATAACAACAAATACATTGACAGCCCTGAGATGGTTAGGTCTAGATTAGATTAGATTAGATTAGATTAGATTAGATTAGATTAGATTAGATTAGATGAACGTAGTTTGAATTTTACGCACACTAACTGATTCCTGGATCCGTATAGTGGAGGATGTGTTTGGGACATAGGACAGAGGAGACATTTGTAAATGTTAGCACACTGATGATGTCACTCTGTGTGTTTATATTCTGTGCCACAGTCTTAAAGCTCCTCTTGTTTGTGTTTTGTCAAATGATACACTGCCTCTGTTTGTTTTGCGTTTCCACAGTACTGCACGATTGTGATCGTCCTAGTGGTTAGCTGTAATTATAATTCTAAAGTCATTGTCACCCTGTGTTCCTGAACATAACACACCTGCGTAACTGGAAAACCATTGAAGCCTTTCATCTGTCCCGCTAGCCTAGCGCACGTTCCTAGCTAACGACAGCTGGTTTGAGAAGCAGGGCCCTGGGGGGGACAACCACCCAAGATAAAGGATCACTACGTCTGGGACCCACCCCACCTGACAGGTTCAGAACCTCTCCTTCCTCCTCCTCTTCGTCACCTCCTGTCTCCTTCCTCGCCCTCCTCCTCAGACCTCCCAGAGCACTGAGCCCCAACACTGACGCTGCGGAAAGTCCAAAGTGCAACAGCGGCGAGTCTGAGAGGCCAAGGGGCCCCATGCTGCCCCCCCCTATAGGGAACAGTGGTGCCCCAGGGTGGCCCAGGGACCTCGCGTGGCAGAAAGCAGAGAGGGGCAAAGAAGCCCCCAGACCCCCCAGGAGGGCTGCAGCAGCCCCTGGGACGATGATAGGCGCCCCCACTGTAGACGGCAGGTCCGTCATGCTCTGGGGGCCGGGCAGGCTCAGCCCCGAGCCCAGTCGACTGGAAGCCCCGTGCTCCTGGGCGACGAAGTGACCGTGGGCCTTGATGTGCTTACGGAGGGAGCTGGGATCTGTGTAGCGCTTCAGGCAGCCCGCCTTCTTGCAGTAGTACGGCTTGTCCACGTAGTGAGTACGAGTGTGTTTGAAACGGTCGCTGGAGTTGGAGTACCGTTTGCTGCAGCCTTCGTAGGGACAAATGTAGGGTTTCTCTCCTGGACAGAGAAGAACAGAGGTGAGAACGGGTTCATGATTACAGGGTCTGATGTGGACGTAACGCCGACTGCGGTCCATGCTGGTGTCGTGTCCTTAAACTTCAGGTCGGTCTTAGATAAACACACTTGTTTCTCTCTTGTGAACGTCCATTAAAAACTGAATGTTTGACAAACAGGAAAGTCAACATTGGGGCATGGGACCTGCCCTTTAGATAAATAATACGTATAGAGTAACAAAGGATATAGTTTTTGTCCTGACGGAATATGGTGTGTGTACTGTGTACCAAACAATCAGGGACCAGATGTACTTGTTTCTGCTGCGGGACAGCGTCGGTTATCAACTGAAGGCACCGGAGATACCGTATGTTTGCCGTGAGAGGCGCAGTTACAATATAGATGTCGACCACATGGCGGCAGTAATGTGTCAGCCAGTTCTTCTCTATGCTAACCGCCCCCCTCCAATTTCATGGGTCATAAACGACCCCCCCCTCGCTATAGATGAGTGTAGATTTTTGTACTACGACGTGTCGAACCTCTTAAGACTGACGAAAACAAAATCGTCTTCTTTTCATGCTAGTGCTAACACAGAGACCTTGTCCTGCTCTTGTCACACAAGGAAAATTAAAGAAACTCCAATCCAGCGGAAGTGAACATTGGTTGGTGAAAAAAGAACGACACATCAACGTCAACCCTCATCGTTGTCTTTTTTGACGAGTTCCTGTTTCACAGGCATTCCGTTTAGTTCCTTATATTTCACTTCCTTAAGCCTGCTCTGTGCTCTGGCCACCGGCGTTCTCTCACATTCATGGATGAAAACCTGTTCTTCTCTCTGCACCTGCGGAGACTGTGACTCAGCAGAGGCAATACATCTGCTGCTGCTGCTGCTCATGTGGGGTACCAGAGATGACTGGTACCCTCACCCTAAACCCCTATGGTAGACCTTTCTACTACAGTTGTGTTCTGTGGACCCAGTGGACGTATAAAAGTATTGCAGCTCATTTAATGAATCTATTTTAACGATGAGGGGATTGACTCACACTGTGGTTTGTACAGATAATTAAATATGACCCAGGCCCATATCGGTATCGGTCGATATCGGAATCGGAAATTAAGTGTTTGGACAATATCGGCAGACAGTTAGTATCGGACATCGCTAGTTATAAACACTGGAAAATGGCAAGAAAAATATGCAAAAGTATTTCATTTGTTTTCATGGAGCAGGAGGATTCACGTAATCTGTCTTCTGTTATCCAGAACGTCATCGACTCGGTGTCAGGTCCGTCTGACACACCTCACCTGTCCTGAATTTGAATAATTATTTGATCTGCAGTCAGCTTGTTGTTCACCGTCACCTCACCTGTGTGTGAGCGCGTGTGGATCTTCAGGTTCTCCAGTCGTGAGAAGCTCTTGTTGCAGGTGGGACAATGGTGTGGTTTCTCATTAGTATGAGTACGGATGTGAATCAACATTTTGTATCTAGCAACACACGTGAGAGAGAGAGAGAGAGAGAGGGAGGGGAGAGAGAGAAATGTTATATATATATATATATTAATATTGAAATAAAACATATTTGTAGAAACAAATCTTGCCGTGACCTGGTGATGTGTTAAAGCAGAGGTCACATTTGGTTGCGTGTGTCGTGGTGATAAAGTGGTTTACAGTGAGGAGTCATTACTGGAACTAAACAGACTTAGTTAATAGTTTAAACAGCAGCCAATTAGACGTCTCCACCTTGAATAAATAATTCATCATCACATAATTTCTTGTAATCCGACTGTGTGTTGTTTCATGGCAGGTTCATCAAATATGGACAGAGCAGGTTGGAAACATGAATCAGGAAGATGTTATGGGAATAAATGATATTGAAACTTAGTAAATGATGACTTAGTGGTTGGTAAAGTTTTTACTTTAAACACAAATAACAAGTGAGTTGTTTATTTTCACACACATCTTTCAACCTGTTTAAAGAGCGGCAGCAATCTGCGCTGGAACCGAGTGTCACTGCTTCAGCCGCATTCACCAGGCACCGAGAAGCAGAACGGTAACGGCCAGAGCCTTGACCAGTTTGCCGAGAGAACTGGCCTTCCCTGATCTGTATCTGACCCGAATCAGACCAGAACCAGACTAGAACCTGACCTGAATCTGACCTGAATCTGACCCGTATCTGACCTGTATCTGACCTGTATCTGACCCATATCTGACCTGAATCTGACCTGTATCTGACCTGTATCTGACCTGTATCTGACCCATATCTGACCTGAATCTGACCTGTATCTGACCTGTATCTGACCTGTATCTGACTCGTCTCAGACCCGTGTCTGACACATCCACTGCTGTAGTTCTGGAGTTCCACCTCCTCCCAGTCCCAGTCTTTGGACTCGTCACTGACCACATATCATAATAATCAAATTAAATAAATAAGTGGTAGAAAATCTGCAGCGGGAACAAACCTGGCGTTAAAGCCTCGTCCATTGCGAGCGCAGCCCTCCCACTGGCAGCAGTACCCAGAATCCTTTTCAGGTTTCACATGGAAGTCATTGATGTGGTCCACTAGGTCCTGTAGGGAGTCGAACAGTAGGTGGCACTGCAGTACAAAAAGATGGGGAGATACGACTCAGTATGTAGAATCATATATATTTGAATTATTTTAAAATGGAGTTTTTCTTCTTCTCTGATTGTTGTCCTGACATTTTTACTCATTAATATCTCAGTAATGGTACTACCACAGTACTATAAGTAGTACACACACATCCAGGCCTGTGCAGTATCAGCCTGCAGTTATCGTAGTAACGCCCTGATTACTCATCGGTTCCGTCTCTAACACTGTAACAGATAAATGGATGTTTTTGATCTGATTTAAATGTGTCCGTTTGTCCTTAACGACGTTGCCGTTGATCTCGCTCACTTTCATCCATCTGCAGGCTAGCTGTCCGTCCACCGAAGGCTCCGGCGACACTTGCTTCTCCCTGTTGGGGCTGACAAACACAGAGGAGGGGAAGGTGTAGGCCCGGGGGGGGCTTCCCATGGGCAGGTAGAAGGGGAAGCCCTGAGGTGAGGCCCTGCCCTCCACGCCCAGGTGAAGAACTGGTTCCTGAAACACAGTAAGAGAACGGGTTTGTCTGTGTGTTGGGAAGGGGGGGAGGGCGGGGGGGGGGGGCTACATTACCACCCAGCCACGCCCCCTACATGTCATTACACCTGTTTTAATGACATGTTTCATGTTTTTTTTTTTTTTGTTTTTTTTTTTGACTAATAGTCATGACAGTTCAAGGGAACACTTTGTGACCTGGAGATGTTACAAACACACACACACACACACACACACACAAACACACAAAACAGGATTCTCTTACAGAAGGTGTGACCACAAGTATTCTCAGAATACGGTGTTAGCAGTTTGGAATAACAAGAAGTTTCCCTCCTGTGAAAACATTCTTCAGTCCTAATGACACACAGAAACCACAGAGACTATTATCACTGTTCAGCTGTTCAGACTGGACTTAAGTGGAATTTGAAATGTTTGTATTGACAATATTTAAGATTCTCTTTTTAATTCGTCTCATGTGACGAGATGGAAGGAGTACAGTTTCTTTAGCCCCCTCTTCTGGATCTAATCTGTCATTACAGTCTCCCCATTTTCCACGTTTACAACTTCATCCTGACTAATGAAAAAGTGTTTCATTTTTCTGCTGCATTTGGATCACAGTTTACTGAGACCAAGTTACTGTGCAACGTTGATGAAGTTGATGAAGTTGATGAAGTTGATGAAGTTGAACTTCAGTGAAGTGGAGCGTGAAGTTACACCAACGACAAAGTTGAATGTAGAAATGAGTGATTGTTCTGTTGGTCAATGTGTTAACGTTAGGACTGAGCTGTGACTCAGAACACATGGACGGTTCTGATGGTTCTGATGGTTCTGATGGTACTAATGGTTCTGATGGTTCTAGTGGTACTAATGGTTCTGATGGCTCTGATGGTTCTGATGGTTCTAGTGGTTCTGATGGTACTGATGGTTCTGATGATTCTGATGGTTCTAATGGTTCTAATGGTTCTAGTGGTTCTGATGGTACTGGTGGTTCTGATGGTTCTGATAGTTCTGATGGTTCTGATAATTCTGATGGTTCTGATGGTTCTAATAGTTCTGATGGTTCTGATGGTTCTAATAGTTCTGATGGTTCTGATGGTTCTAATAGTTCTGATGGTTCTGATGGTTCTAATGGTTCTGATGGTTCTGAAAAAGTGTAAATGATGGACTTACGCGACAGAAGATGTGTGGCTGTGGGCTGCGACTGCTGTGAGGAGGCTCCAGGGGTGAGGAAGGGGAAGGGGAGGAGCGGGAGGAAGAGGAAGGGGAGAGGGAGGGAGCATGGCGGGAGGAGGGGGACAGGCTGAGGTCCATTGCCGGAGGAGTGAAGCAGGACCCGGGTCGTTCTTGAGACGGAGACTGGGAATCTGAAGAGAGACGTGGAGACAAGAGGTCGTCGGGTCACAACCAGTGTCGCTGCGTGACCTTTCAAAATAAAAGACTAAAAAGAAATCTAAAAAAAAAAAAAAACACATGGTGCCAAAAGTCATTTTTGACCTAGTGTTCTAAAACCAAACCTGCTTCTTCACACTCACGCTCAAATCATGTCGTCTTTGGAAAGCTGTGGAACATTGAGCAACATTACTGCCACCTGCTGGTTCTATTTCCCACTGACAAATATTTCCACAGAGGAAAAGACTTGAAGGTCGATGGTTGATGCAACTTTTCTTACGTCTGACATCCACTGATACTGCAACTTGATGATGATACCAAAGCGATACTTTCTAATGTTGTGCGATGTGGTTGTTTGATTCTGTAATTTTAACCAACATCGGACCGGTACCGATCCCAAGTATCCGATCTCGCCGTCCCTAAATGTAGCATTATCGCTAATGTTCCGGAGGCTGCTGATTCATTTACTTGGAAATGAGTCGGGGGGTTCTGGAGGACGTTGGTCCAAAGTGGAACCCCACCAACAGCGGCTCCTTGTTCTGTCGGACTCAGTGACGAGGTCGTCAAGAACAACGCCCCACGGTTTGGTCACAACAGATGTGACGAGGTCAGCGTGTGTGGCGGTCACACCGCTCTCGTTAGCAGACCTGCTGACGTCGTCTGTCCAGGCACAGAAGAGCGCCTCCATTCAGTGATGCACAAAATTAAGTTAGTGAGGGACTGATTAGGGTTAGTGGTGAACCAGCGTGGGGACGTGGGGGCGGGGTCTTTTACCTGGCGAGGAGGGAGGCGAAGGAAAGGTTGCGTATAGGAGGCGGGGTCGCGTGGCGCTGAGAGGGGCACAGATGGAGGAGGGACACGCCCTCTTCCCGGACCTCAGCGGACCTTCTGTCCGACTGGAGGGAACCTTCAAGTCCAGAGGCTCGTCCACGGACAGCATGGCTGCTGATCGCTGCTCCGCGCCTGAATCGACAGAGAAGAAGAATTTAAGGCTGAGCGAGGGGCCAATCAGAGGCCAGCGCTAGATCGACGCTGACGTTGGATTGACTTCTCTGGTGTAAAAGAGAGAGAAGGTCATTTAAGTACAGTTTAAAAAAAAAATATTATAATGACAGAAAAACAGAAGAATGAATGCTGTAGATAAATAGACAGAGAGAGAGGGTGAGAGAGAGGGGAGAGAGAGGGGAGAGAGGAGAGAGAGATCACGAGTGTTAATGATAAAACTGGCTGAATTCCAGTGGGTTGAAGAATCCTGGCACTGATCACACTGGCTTGCTGTCTTTTCTTTTCTTACTGGAACTTGAATGGATCGCAGCCATCCACAGTGTTATTGGTAACACATGTTTTTTTTTTTTTTTTTGGTTTTTGTTTTTTTTTAGCCTTCCACAAAAGAGCTAGAACTTTCTGCTGTGACACGATCTCTCACAGGTACCGACTGCAGCAAAACAGACGGAAAAACTCCATGAAAAACTCTTCTTCTCGCTCTGCTCTTTTTTTTATATATCAACTTTTAACAGTTGAGAACGAACTGTTTGAATCTGAAACTTTAAACCGATGCTCGGCGTCCGTTTGACCGATCTGAGAATCACGGGAGAGTCGAACCAGTGTTGTGAATTTAGCTGTTGCTCTGTGACGGAGGGAAAAAAAAAACCAACCCAGAGGAGTATTATGGTGTGGGCTGAGGATTGTGATCCTGGACATTTCTGTGGCTGCCTGCACCACAGGCCTCACTGTGAGTTCTGCAGTAGTTTTCCACCCTGGGTGATGTGACACCGTGGACGGAGCGAGGGCCACGACGGCTCCTAAAAAAACGACATGTATAAGTCATGCCTAAAATGCTTTAACCTTTTTTCTACGCCATCTATTGGAGAAATGTGGTCATTGCAGGGAAAAAAGACAGAAGTATAAAAGATGATGGAAATTAATAACAAAATTTGGACAAGCTTTGGCGGGCCGGATTAAGAAGCCAAACGGGCCGCATCCGGCCCCCGAGCCGTAGTTTTCCCATGCCTGGGCTCGCTGCTCTGTGACTCCACCCAGGAGATCGTGTCAGACCAGGTGACTCCAGACGCACACATCTGTTTCACAGGTGGAGACGAGAATTCTCCCAGCAGGAAGTCGTACACCTGCAGTGAAACACCAGACGTCCCAGAAGACGTCCTCGCCCCTCACAGTCCCCCCCCCCCACACACCCTCACACCCCCACACCACGCTGATCTCCAGACCGCAAATCTGTCGCACGTCTGTCAGTAATTAGAGTCTGTAATTTGACCAACGGTGTCTGTTATTTTACAGGGAAGATTAAAAAAATGTTCTTTCTTTTTAAACAAACACTGAACTTTGACTCAAACTTTGATTCTGATTTAATCCAAATGTTGTTGACTTTGAAGAATGTCTTTTTCTTTGTTCTCAGTCTCAGTTTTCTGTCCATGTACATTTTTAAAATTCAACTGAAATTTGGAAGAAAAAAAGAGCTTTATATTGACTACAAAAATTAGGATTAGGATTAGATCATCATCTGTAACGTCAGGCTGTAACGGCGGAGGCTACGTCCGTTCTTATAAACGATCTGTGGATTCGCAGTATTTTTTTTCTTCTTCTTGGCTCAGGCTGCACCTCCACACCATCTCCACAGGTTGACAGGTCTAATACCCCAACTGCCCTCGGGGTAAATATACAGTTACCCTGCATGTGTTGTGCAGCAGATTGTTGTGTTCTTGCTAAGCTAACGCTAATTTGCCCCTGGAACCAGCGGCCAACGTAGCGGTAACCCGTTCATCCGACCCAGGCCTGGAAACAAATTGTTCTCGGAGAACGTTCGCGGACAGAACCGCCCTTCCTTACTCTCGCTATGACACATTCATTCACCCAGCCGTTCGTGCACTCCCTAGATGGCGCCAGACGTGGGTTGGGAGCAGTTGTGCGACACAACTGCAGAACCTGGACGGGTTCTCTGGCAGCGTGGCCCTTTAATGATAGATGACAGCAATTTGCTTTTGCTAACCCGGATTCAAACCGGCATCTTTCCAGCTGCATGTTCGCCTCCCGGACGTCAGAAGTCGCCGTCGCCGCGGATTCTTCCAGCATCACCGACAGGATCCCCGCGCATAATATGAGGCAGAAGCTAAACCACAATGAAGTCAGTGTTTAGGTCCCTGTGCCGCGCTGCCAGCTACCTCACCACACTGGTTTCACATTCCACAGCAGCCTCTCTCTCTCCCTCCCTCTCTCTCACTCCCCTCCCTCCCCCCCTCTCCCCCTCTGTTATTTGGAGCCGTGTATAAAGCATGCACATACAGAACCATATGTATCCAGACACGCACACCGACTGGAGTTGGACCAGACATGCGCCC